AGGTGCAATATCGTAGTAGTGTCTTAAATGAAAAGAAAATTGGCCATTTAAAGATCGTATCTATTACAACCCAATTAAGAAATTACTATCTTCTACAAATAGCAAAGCGGACTCGAAGTAAGAATGGTTTAATTTCACAAGACGTGCTCTCTTTTCCGTCGCTACCAGCGATACGTTTATCTAGCGAAACAGTACTGCAGTACACTGCACAGATCGTGCATAATAATTTCTCTCCACTATAGTGCCCTGGTAACTCAGGGTCAAAGTGCTCGTTGTAAATTTCACTGTACGCAAGCATTTCGGCTTTGATCCCCGCCGGTACTAATTAAATTGTTAATAACAATTTGAACTTCTGATTTCCTACGTGCTCAACGGTGATAGAAACATGAGAAATAAAAGAAATTTTTTTGATAAAAAATCCCCAGTAATAATTTTTATAAGTTTGGGGTGACACAACCTCAAAAAGTAATTGAATATACTCGTGTTCTGGTGTTTGATGTCACCCTGGTGTTTAACAATTATTGAGATCTTAAAATTAAAGAACATAGAGATAAATATACCTACGTTCCTTAGTAAATATAAATTTAAATAAAAATTATTAAAAAATATAATTTTTTTTGTAGAATAAGGCTGACAAAAGAGCAATCCACCTGATGTTAAATTGATGCTGTGGCCCATAGACATCTACATCCATGAAAAATCAAATGCACATGCAGATCTTTTGCTATCCCAGAGGAATATGATGGAATGCTTCATTCCCAGTGAAAAGGTTCTCCGGTTATCTACACTCACCATAAGAAACAGAATAGCATTAAACTGTTATTTTAGCACCTGGTATTCTGTGAGAGCTTGGTCCCTCCCCGGTCGAGCCTACCCATTTGTGCTACGACCATAATCTGTAGCTGCATGGCTCTATCACGTATCTACTCAAATACACGAAAAAAATCATCAAAACCGGTAAAGTCGTTTTCGAGATTTTGCGAGACTAACGAATGGCGATTGATATTTGTATATAGAGATAAAAATAATATATATATAAGGATGAATTTCGAGTACATATTACCTTTTGCAAATCATTTTTACCACTGGCTTGAAAATAATACCCACTCGTATGTTCACAGTCAAAATACAATAACACATTGCCCTATGAATGAATTACTTCTTTGTGTAATCGAAAAATTGGTACCACTGGATCTACTTGTGTTTGTTCATGTCGTTTACAGAATGAATATTAGTTTCGTATTAAAACTACTCTAGTTTTTACAAAATGTTTTTGTAGCATCTCACATCGCGTACCAATCTGCATAATAAACAATTTATGCGCTGCTGGTACCGGCCACTCACGTTTGAACAACAAACAAAACTGTATATTTTAGTAGACTTTATTGCAAAAAACAATGTTAGGTAAATAATAGCATTATTAAATATCATTTACTATATGACATTGTTCGAAGCAACATTTTCCTTGTAATTAATTTATTAAAATAAACCGTGTAGTGACGGTGTAAGAATATTCACTACCCCAAATCGTCCCCTGCGTGTTATAAGAGGCGACAGAAAAAAATTAAAATGGAAGTTATTATTTTCAGCTGCTATAATGAATGTTTGCCATAGTTGACACCTCAGTGAGTTGACAAGCACAGTATACCTTTTTGGTGCTTTACTTATAATAACACTTCATTCTTCTACAAAATGTGCTACGTGTGAGTTAGTCTTCGGTAAACTTTGTGACATTCCTAGTAGGTTAAGTAATAGCCTAGAACTAGTTGTAGTACTAGAATTATAGTTTAGAATTCTTAAAATATCGTTTACAAATAGCATGCAAAGATGCACGAAATAATTTGTTAAAAAGTAAACATATGCGGAAATCTAATTATCGTTGGAATATAAACCAAGTGTTATATATGAGAAAGGTGATTTAATATTGTTAAAAAACGTTTTGTATGACGGCCCATATATTGGTATTGAAGATCTAATATCAAAATTGGGAAATACAGTAAGGTAGAAATTGTACACAACATCGGAAAAAATATTTAAAAAATAACATATCATAATATAATGTTGTACTCGTATGAGTGTTATTGTTACCTATTTCTATTTGCAAGGTTTGTTACCATTATAACAAAAAATGTCTATTCAAATTCTTTTTTTGTGAACTCCTGTAGTGTAATGTGGTACCTATATATTGTAGACTTAGTTTTAGCATTACGTCAGTCATCTAAATCTATCATTTATTCTCCCTTCAACCCGCACATTTCAAAGTTTAGTGGATATTCATACACATCCACTACATGGTTGCTTAAATATATGATACTTTAACTATGTGAAATTGATGTGTTGCTTTTTTTAAAAGTCGTCACAAATTCGTGACTGTATTCCTGTCAACGCATGGCTTAAATATTTTATTTCCTGAGTCTACGTGAAAGCGGCAATGTTGATACATCCCGGACAGTGCAAACATTGGTTCTGTTGTGCTATAGACTCTTTGTCGTCATATCGTAATCGTATTTGATTTTGTTTGTACACGAGTATGAACCAGCAATTAAGTAATATAATGAAAATATACAAAACCTATCTACCAATAATTTGTTTACATGACGTTGAAATATATACAATATTAAAAAATTATGATAAAAATCTAAAAGTAAAAACTTTACTTTTCTTACAGTCCTACTCGCCGCGGTATTAGTGCCGAGTACGACTCGCTAAATGGCTATAGTTTGCGTTTGAGCGAGGAAAGAACCCGCCTTCTTTACACCAGCAGCGATGACCTGTATCAGATACAGTTCCTTTAGGAACTTCACTGCATGTGTATTTTTACACGCTTACTATTAACTTTTACAACTGGTTTAGCCACGATAAATATATACCGTGGAAGAACCACGTTGTCGCATAAAAGCAGCGTAAAATAGCAGCTTAATGTTGTTGTATTTCGTAACAACGTTAGCAAAACCGGTGATTTGTATCTCAAAATGATTTTATTAATTCCTTATAGAGAACAGCCAGGATCATAATGTTCTTATTGCTTTCACGATTTGTATTGTTTTCATTTGATTTGGTTTTTGTTGTAACATACGTTTGTCTGGGACGTTCAAGTGAATTGAAGTATCGTAAATCATCTCATCTCTTAGAAAAGCATTTAATAATTTTTTGGATAATATTTCCTTTGGATGTCTCACAAAGAGTAAAGCATCTTTTATTCTAACAAAGCATATCGACTTCGTTATTGACATATTTTATTTATTCGTTGGTAGTTATGAAATAAATAATCCAAAATCAATCTTATATCAAGGCCAACTTACGACAGAATCGAGTTCTAAATCAATCGAATTTGATTTGAAAATTTAATTCATACTCCCGAATCTAAAGCTAACGCAATGGTGGTTTAACTTATAACTGAACGGAAGTCTCAAGCTTTTCTCTGCTAGATGGCGCGCATTGTTACAAACAACGACAATACATTTTCTTTATAAATTTTTCCTATTAATGTAGAAATATTATTTGAGAAGTGCATTTTTTAGTTTAAAAATAATCGAACCAGGTATTAACAATATAACCTATATGACTTATCTGACATTCACCTATATGACATTCGGCCAGATAGCTATGCATAACAACGCTACTAACGCTTGATCGTAAATCCATCTCGTTTCTTGATTCATATCGGTTCAGGTAAGTTTTTAGAAATAGTTAGGGTTTTATCGAAAAAAACCAAATCGATTTAAAAATAAATTTCGGGAGTAATACTTCAGACCATGTCTATTACAAACTAATCTTTTATTGGACTATATTATTTATTTTATAGAGAAAAATAGGTGATATTCCACCTGATGGTAAGCAGCCTAGGTACAACTAGATATAACTTCATACAAAGATGTGGCGTGGTTTACATATGTACATAGGTTGAATACAGGATGTTCTTCAGAGTCGATAGCACACTGGCCATTGCTCTCCAAAGGCGAGCACTTTTGTGCTTTCTTTTTGTGCGCAGCTTCTTATGTTAGAGATAGCTGATACAAAATGAAGACAGTTATCTGGATCTAAAATTTATTTTAGAAAATGAATACATACACAACAGTCACCAATGCAATCAAGAATGGCATTTACTCCAAATAATTTAAGAATAAAAAGCTTAATAAACTCTATTCATGTTGCTGATACCAAAAAATCAACTTAGCAACTGTAATAAAAATTACTTCTCATTACGACACTGTTATCTCAATAAGAAGCTATAAAAAACATATTTGCGCAAGTGTAAATATTAGTTGGTTAGAGTTCAGTACAATTCAAAATGGTAAAGCACTGTCGTCTCCTTCATAATCCTTTTTAATACGCGCTTTGAATCAATATGCTATTTTTAAGGTAGACAACCTTCCATTCATTATTACACTCTAGATACATTCCGTACATTAGTACACTCAACTGAAGACTGACAAAACTAATGGTTATTTTATAGAAAAATACTGTTTATTGTTATAGACTTAGGTTGACGACGAGCACACCATACACCTGATGGTAGGTGAATAATAATAATAATAATAATAAGGCGTAGGGAATTGACGACCCCATCGCCCGCTGACGTAACAGTTAAGTGACAAAACTGCTACGTCAACGCAGTCAGTCAGCGCCTTGCGAGAGGTGTGAGCGCCGTGCCTCGGCAGAATTTAGGGTGCAGAGGCCCGTTTGTGCTTATGGCTACACACGAAACGGTGCCGGGCCTGGGCGTCTCCCGTTAATGGACGCCCAAATAATGGATGATGGATAAGAAGATAGTGCGCAAAGGGCCGCTGCCTGGGGGTCGCCGGGGCGCGTCTGGAGCTGGCGCTGGACGCGGCAGCATGCGGGCCGCCAGCCGAGCGCGAGGAGCTGCACGGTCACCTAGCAGCCCTCCGCATGCATCATTCCACCAGAAGGCTTGGTGTCGGCTGGGTCTTCTCGGACTCAGCAAGCGGCACCCGCCGCTGGTGTAGCACGTCGCATGCGTTGGTCACAAGCAATAAATGCAAACGCACTGCGGGCATTATTTAGGGCAAAAGGGGAAGAAACTGGATGTTTGGCGTATCGGGTTAGGACGCATCGTTTTTTTTTCTGAGCTGGAACCATCTTTAACCTTCACAGAGCAAAACCTGGCAGACCGAGTTCGGTATATCTTGCGCTCAAATGTATTTGATGTCGCCGAACTCGAACGGCTACGACGTGAGGCTGTTCCCTCGTCGGATGAGAATGCTACGGCTGAGGATGCGGCGCCACAAATGGTAGAGCAACCCGCAAACGTTGATGCCGCCGCGAATACCCCAGTTGTGGTTGATTCAAACGATGATGGAACAGTCGCCCAGGAACTGGAATTAGAGCATATGAGGAGTACATTGGAAGAGGCGATTGTGGAAACGCGCAGTACGCCTCTCGAAAATTGACCGCGACTTCCCCGCATAGCCCTAAGCAAGCGGAATCGGGCTGTCGTGAGGGCTCTGAACCCAATGCTGGTGACCTATTTGGAAGCCAGCCGGGACCTTTGCGAGACGGACTCAATTCTTTTTGGCGCCGCGCTGGCAGTCTGCCGTATCATAGGCGCCAAGATTTCTACGGCTGGACGCGCTACTGGCTATAGTAGCGCTATCCCAGCATGGAAAAGAGGAATTGAGGAACGTATCGCAAAGGCTAGAGCTCTCATCGGGAGACTGATATGCTTCAGATCAGGCAATAACAGGCCAAAAATTGTGCGCACCGTCAGGATGGCGTTTACTAGGACAAATGTCAGTTTGTCCCAGCCGGATATAACGCAAAAACTGACGGAGCGCATAGATGATCTGAATCAGAGAATCGCTGCTTGGGGAACGCGGATTCGGCGATATACCGAGAGGTCGACACGGTTCAACCAGAATCGTCTCTTCCAGAGTGATCAGAAGAGGCTCTATGAATCATTGGAGCGACCAATGGTAAGTGAAACGGGTCCAGCACCGAATCAGGCCGACACTGTAGCATTCTGGCGTGGCCTGTGGTCAGAGCTCGTAAACCACAGCGAGAGCCCTTGGACGGAAGTTGTGGCGAGTCAGTGTGCGGGTATTATGCCGATGGACCCCGTCATCATAACGCCGGATGACGTAGCTGAGGCGGTCCGTAGGGCCCCGAACTGGAAAAGTCCGGGGCTTGACGGGCTGCATCACTACTGGCTGAAGGGGTTCATGGTGTGTCATTCTGTGCTCGCCCGACAGTTTCAAGAGGCTCTCAACCAGAAGTCACTCCCAAGCCTCTTCACTACTGGGATCACTCATTTGGTTTCTAAAGACCAGGGTACCACAGACCCGAGCAAATACCGCCACGTGTCTACCGACCATATACAAGACACTAACATCCATTTTGAGCGCGAGAATCACTTTTCACCTGGACTCAAATCAGGTGATGTCGCGCGCTCAAAATGGATGTCGGGGCGGTGGTCGTGGAACCAAGGAACCACTCCTCATTGACGCGGTCATTGGCAAAGTGGTGAAACGCAACCGTCGGAACTTCTCCGCCGCCTGGATAGACTACAGAAAGGCATTCGACTCGGTGCCCCATACATGGCTAAAGAGAGTCCTCGAGCTGTACAAGATAGACTGTACAGTTAGAGACTTCCTCGAGCAGTGTATGGGGCAGTGGAGTACGATCCTTTGTCATCTGGGCGAGCGGATGATGGCTGCGGAGAACCACATAACGATAAGAAGGGGTATCTTCCAGGGCGATTGTCTGAGTCCAATCTGGTTCTGCCTCTCTCTGAACCCTCTCAGTACCTTACTGGAGGGCTCCGGGAGGGGATTTCAGCTACGGAAAGGAGGGACAAAAGTGACCCAACTTTTCTATATGGATGACCTCAAGTTATTCGCCTCCAGTCGCTCCCATCTTATGGAACTGCTAAACATCACTTGTGAATTTAGCAGTGCCATTGGAATGGAGCTGGGGACGGATAAGTGTGCGGTCCTCCATGTTGAAAGGGGAAGGGTTGCTAACTCTGAGGGCATAGACTTGTCTATGCCCGTCAACTTAAGGACCCTTTCCGAGGCTGAAACATACCGATACCTGGGTATGTCACAGAACATCGGTATCGATGAGGCTGGTATGAAACAGTCAGTTTGCGACGTGTTTTATGCACGCTTGACCAAAGTGCTTAACAGCCTTTTGTCCGATGTGAATAAGACACACGCATATAACGGTTGGGTCATGCCTGTCCTCATGTATACCTTTGGCATACTCAGGTGTACCCAGACTGAACTTAACGCACTGGATAGAAAAGTCCGCACTACCACGACGTCCCTTAGGATGCATCATCCGAGATCGTCGGTAATGAGGCTGTACTTGCCGCGGAAGCATGGTGGTCGTTGCTTCTTGAGCGCGCTCACCATGCATAATCGCGAAGTGTGCAGCCTCCGTGATTACTTCCTGGCGAGATCGGATGATCCATTCTATAAGGACGTCATTTCTTGTGATAAAGGACTTACCCCTCTATCCTTAGCCAACGAGCAATGGCAAGACCCGGCAGTGCAGAGCATTTACGACCGGGAGACCGTATGGAAGGAGAAGGAGCTCCACGGGAGGTTCTACAAGGCTCTATATGAGCCTTTCGTAGACACAGTAGCCTCCCTCCACTGGCTACGCTTTGGTGATCCCTTCGGGGAAACCGAGGGTTTTGTCTGTGCAATACAGGATCAGGTTATTAAGACCAACAACTATAGGAGATACATCCTAAAGGATGGCACCGTCGACATCTGTCGAGCTTGTCGCCATCCCGGTGAGTCACTTAGGCATGTTATCTCCGGTTGTTCGGCGCATTCTAACTCTGAGTACTTGCACAGGCACAACCTAGTAGCCAGAATTCTATTCGCCGTATTCGCTCTGAAATACGGTCTCGTGGACCGAAAATTGCCGTATTACAAGTACTTGCCGGAAGCCGTGCTCGAAAATGACCGCGCCAGGCTCTACTGGGACCGGGCCATTATCACAGACAGGACTATTCTTGCGAATAAGCCTGATATTGTGCTGATGGACCGGGCACAGTCAAGGATATTTTTGGTCGACATTACCATTCCGTATGACGAGAACCTCGTGAAAGCCGAAACAGACAAGCAAACAAAATATCTGGACCTGGCTCACGAGGTGACCGACATGTGGGGTGGTCTGCCGACCGAAATTATTCCTGTAGTCGTCTCTGCAAACGGGCTAATCCCAGTCAGCCTCTCGGGTCATCTGAGGCGACTGGGACTACGTGGCGGACCGCTCCGGGCTCAAATGCAGAAGGCGGTGCTCCTCGATACCGCCCGCATCGTCCGCCGGTTTCTTTCTCTTTCCCCCTAACCCTCGGCCGTTTGGTCTCCCCTGCCGAGGGCCTCCATCTGGTTGGGCTTCTATTTATTTGAGTATTTTTATATTTATTTTATGTTATTGATATTTATGTATATTTATCTTTTCATTCTCATTTATAATTATATATTTATAGAACCCAACCAGATGAGAAAACTATATAGATACCCCACAATAATAATAAAATTATATAGATACCCCAATAATAATAATAATAATAAATACGGAAATTGCCGTATTACAAGTACTTACCGGAAGCCGTGCTCGAAAATGACCGCGCCATGCTCTACTGGGACCGGGCCATCATCACAGACAGAACAGACGGGACTATTCTTGCGAATAAGCCTGATATTGTGCTGATGGACCGGGCACATTCAAGGATATTTTTGGTCGATATTACCATCCCGTATGACGAGAACCTCGTGAAAGCCGAAACAGATAAGCAATCAAAGTATCTGGACCTGGCTCACGAGGTGACCGACATGTGGAGTGGTCTGCCGACCGAAATTATTCCTGTAGTCGTCTCTGCGAATGGGCTAATCCCAGTCAGCCTCTCGGGTCATCTGAGGGGCTGGGACTCCGTGGCGGACCGCTCCGAGTTCAAATGCAGAAGGCGGTGCTCCTCGATACCGCCCGCATCGTCCGCCGGTTTCTTTCCCTTTCCCCTAACCCTCGGCCGTTTGGTCTCCCCTGCCGAGGGCTTCCATCTGGTTGGGTCTTACTTATTTATGTAGTTTTTGTATTTATTTTATTTGATATTTATGTACATTTATCTTTTCATTTTCATTTATAATTATATATTTATAGAACCCAACCAGGTGAGAAAACTATATAGATACCCCAATAATTAATAATAATAATAATAATTTCTTTACTTGACACTTATAATTTCATACAACATCATTGAGCCCTGACTCCCAAACTAGGATACCCTGTATTTCAGGAGTCAGTTCCTTCCCATTCAGTAACTCTTTGTGTCAAAATACATTAGAGAAATGTTGATATATATTTAATACACAGTTAACACTCTATACATGTGTGTGTGTGTGTGTGTGTGTGTGTGTGTGTGTGTGTGTGTGTGTGTGTGTGTGTGTGTGTGTGTGTGTGTGTGTGTGTGATAATATGATTGATAATGTCTATGGGTACGTAAAGAGGGGGGCTAACGAGCATGCGGATCACCTGGTGGCAAGTGTCAACCGCCGCTATTAACAACTGCCACACTAGGGTAATTGCAAATACGTTGCCGGTCTTTCAGGACGAGTAATCAGCTCGTTTCTTGAAGGTCTCTTAGACGTGTCAGTCTGGAAAAAAATGCCGATGGTAAACGATTCCACATAGAAGTCGTGGGAGGAAAAAGCTCCCAGTAAAACGCTGCTAGTAAAACGCACAGTGGTTTGTCTCGATGTGCGTTAGTAAAATTTGGCATCCAGAATCAATCCGAACCATTCCTCAGAGTACTATAGAATATATATATATACTATAGAATGCAGATATAGGTGTCCTTGGCCCACAGCATTCTCTTACCGTCAAGTGAACTATGTGCTCGTTTGTCACTTATCTCGTGGTAAACAAATAGCATAACACTTATTTTTTACGATGGTAAGTGGATGCTGTGGCTCGTGTACATCTTCATTAATTCTCGATTATAAATCAAAATGTAGATACATTGTCACCCCCCGAGAGCTACGATCGAATACCTCATTTCTATTAAAAAAGAGGACTCCGGTTCTCTACAATCAACATACGAAACATAGCACTATTAAGCTGCTATTTTACGCTGGTATAATGTGAGAACTCGGTTCTTCCTCGGTCGAGCCAACCCATTTGTGCTACAACCATATTATAGCTACAGCAGGGTTCTACCACGTTTACATGCAAGACATGTCTAAAAATAGGAAAAAATGTATTAATAATTTCTTATATTTACGTGAATACTACACATTGAATGAAACTATTTTCACCCTAGACGAAAAAGAGGGGTGTTATAAGTTTGACCGCTGTGTGTCTGTCTGTCCGTCTATCTGTTGTTTTAATAAAACCTCAAATTACTCTCAACGCTTGATTTTGTACTTTATCTAGCTTA